TTTCAGCTTCTATTCCTAGGCTTCTGGGTAATCATGTGTGTATCTTCTCCACTTGTGCTTGCTTGCTTGCTTGCTTGCTTAATCTGCTCTTTAATATCAAAAAAGAGATTGATTTAAGACACACCCTACACTGGTACAGTCTCAGTAACATAACAAAGAGAATCCATTCCCAAATGGGATTATATTCACCAAAATACCAAACCCATTGCCGTTGAGTCGAATTCCAACTCATAGCAACCTTGTAGAGGTGTATACTCAAAACCCAAACCCATTGCTGTTGAGTAGATTCCGACTCATAGCAACCCTATAGGACAGAGTAGAACTGCCCCATAGGATTTCCAAGGCTGTGATCTTTACGGAAGCTAACTGCCACATCTTTCTCCTGCGGAGCGGCTGGTGTGTTCAAACCACTGACATTTCTGTTAGCAGCCAAGCACTTTAACCACAGCACCACCAGGGCTCCATCCTGCACACAAAGTTCCTTCCAAAATCAATTTCACGTCAACTCTTCCTAGAAGCCTTCCTGGTGTCTACTTTCCCACCTCCAGCCCCAGCCTATGCTGCCCTTGTCTCCCTGTAATCTTCACAGAACCCTTAAAAGTAGCTTCTCTCCATGGAAGCTCCATAGACACATCCAAACTCCCTGAGGGACTGAATTGCTGGGAGGAGGGCTGTGGGGACCACGGTCTCGGGGAACATCTAGCTCAACTGGCATAACAGTTTATAAAGACAATGTCCTACATTCTACCTTGTTGAGTAGCATCTGGGATCTTAAAATCCTGTGAGCAGCCATCTAAAATACTCCACTGGTCTCATCCCTTCGGGAGCAAGGGAGAATGACGAGAACAGGATACAAGGAAAAGATTAGTCCGAAGGACTAATGGACCACAGCTACCAAGGCCTTCACTGGACTGAGTCCAGTACAGCTAGATGGTGCCCGGCTACCACCACTGACTGCTCTGACCGGGATCGCAACAGAGGGTTCTGGACAGAGCTGGAAAAGGATGTAGAACAAAATTCTAACTCACAAAAGACCAGATTTACTGGTCTAAAGGAGACTGGAGAAACCCTGAGAGTATGGCCCCTAGACACCCTTTTAGCTCAGTGGTGAAGTCACTTCCGAGGTTCACTGTTCAGCTGGGGAGTGGACAACCCCATAAAACCAAATGGGACTAATAAGGCACAGCAATCCAGGGACAAGGGCTAGAAGGCAGAAGCGGACAGGAAAGCTGGTGATAGGGAACCCAAGGTTGAGTAAGGGTAGTGTTGATGTGTTGTGAGGTTGTTAACCACTGTCATAGGGCAACATGTGTACTAACTGTTTGATGAGAAACTATTTTGTTCTGTAAACCTTCATCTAAAGTGAGAATAGCAGCACAATTGGAAGAGCGTAGTCGATGTCACTGAACTGTGCATGTAGAAATTTTTGAAATGGTGTATCTTTGGCTATGTATATTTTCACCAAAAAAAAAAAAGGTTGAGAAGGGAGAGGGTTGACATGTCATGGGGTTGTTAACCAATGTCATAAAACCATATGTGTACTACTGTTTCATGAGAAACTATTTGTTCTGTAAACCTTCACCTGAAGTACAATTTAAAAAAAAAAAAAACATAAAAAAAAAAGTAGCTTCTCTCATCATCCCCATTTTACAGGTGGAACGGCTGAGGCCTAGGGAGGTCACGTCCAGCCAGCATCCCACGGGTGGTAGTTAAGCGCTTAACCACTGCACCACCAGGGCTCCCTGACCACAGGCATAAGGGTTAGGATTTGCAACACGTATTTTTAGGGGACACAATTCAATCCATAACACCGGTCTTGAAGTGTAATTGTCCATCGGTGACATGGACGTGACGTTTTCCCAGCTCCCTCTCTGCTCTGACCATCTGTGGTCTGCACTGTGGACCCACCAGCTGTAGGGAGCCAGAGCCCAGTCTCTGGGGCTTTTACTTCAACTGTGCAGGACAGGAGCCTTCAGGGGATAAAGTGAGGTGGGCTGGGGGCTGAGTGTTCTAAGCGGGGCTGGAGAGGAGACCCAGTGGGCAGCTGGAGCAGGGGCGTCTCCCATGTCAAGATGAGGAGCAGAAGTGAGGAAGGAGGATGAGAAGCAGGGCTGGATGGAGGCTGTCCTGAAGCCTCCACTTCCTCCTCCTCCCTTTCCAGCCCTGGCCTCTGGCCCCACCAATAGGCTGGGAAAGCAGAAATTCTTGAGTTGAAAGTCCAGGAGGTGGAAGGTGCTGGTCTGAGGCTCCTGGGTTCCCTCTACAGTGTCTGGAGACATGCCTGGGGTTGGCGGGGGCTCCAGGGCCTGGGGGTACCTGGTGCTGTTGGTGAGTGCCCCTCACGGAGCCCGGATCCTGGGTCTGAGGGAGGTGGGAGCCTGAGACCCAGGCTTCTGGGTTTGAGGGAGGAGGGGCTGGGGGGTCTGTGACTCCTGGGGAGGAAGGAGGGGCAAATGATTCCTTGGAGCAGGAAGAAAGGTCTAGGGTGGAGGAAACTGTGGAAGAGATTTACACCTGGGCTCTTAGATATTGCAGCATCTGGTGTGAGAGTGAATTCTGGCTTCAGACAAGACACTGGTATGCTCGAAAGACCCAGGATTCTGGACTCCAGACCCCTTTTCCTCCACAATGCAGGAGCCTAAACCTCCAGTCACTTCTCCCCAAGGATCCAAGGATTCAGGGCCTCAGCTCCTCCTCCCAAAGACCTAGGAGTCCCGACCACCAAGCTCCTCCTTCCTCAGACTCAGGAGTCCAGGCCTCCAGCCCCCTCCTCCCTCAGACCCAGGAGTCCCTGCCCCCGTCACCCTTCTCCCTCAGACCAGGGCGTCCTGGCTTCCAGCACTCCCTCCCTTAGACCAGAAGTCCAGGCCCCCAGCCCCCTCCTCCCTCAGACTCAGCAGTCCAGATCTGCAGCCCCATTTTACCTCAAACAGGCTTCCAGAAACTCTTCCTTCAGACCCAGGAATCTAGCCTCTGGCCCCTAATCCCAGTCTCTTTCCTGCCTTCTCAGTTTGTTGATTGCTTCCCTGCCCCCAGTCTTCCAAGGCTATTTCAGGAAGTGGAACCAATAAGTTTATCTCTGTGTCTTATTGGTCAGGCTAACCCCAGCTCTTGGGTCCCTGGAGCCCCGCCCCTGCCATGCTCCCACTTTAGAAAAGACTGACGTTGGGATGACCTTTGTCAGAACCCAGCCCTAGGGGAGGAGACAGCATACCTGGGTCCCTCCTCCCCTTCAGGTAGGGGTGACTCATGGGGGCAGAGCCTGGGAGAATTCCTGATCGGCCCCGCCCACCTTAGCAATCTCACCTGGGTAAAGGAAGGTGAAGTTCAGGGTCTGATTCCTCCCTCTCTGGGCTCTTCCCAGGACGTATGGATCTGGACTGGGGCCAGGGCAGCCGGTGAGTGATCTCTGCCTGTGTTCACTGCCCACACACAAAGACTGGACCTCAATTCCCATAAGCCTCTTGGGACCATGGAGGTCCATTGCAGGGGCTGATGGGAGTTGTCATTTCTGGACTTGTGGCAAGACCTGGGGGTAGTTGAAGGGACAGTACCTGGTCTTTACCCTGCCCACAGCACACCATTCTTCCTAATTTCTCAGACTTCAACCCAGTAGGAACCTGAGTTTGGAGGTTTTGGCCAACAGCTCCATCATCCTGAGCTGAGCTGCCCCTGAGGGCTCAGACTCAGAGCCACACCTACTGGATGCAGTGCATTGGAGGGGGTGGATGGATTTGAACCTGGGCCCTTGCATGAATTATCTGTGTGGGCAGAAGAGGAGCTTATTATCTGTGTGGGCATTCTAGAAGCTTCCTGCCACAAAGCATGGGCTGCAGGAACCCAGGCATCTTTCTCTAGGTCCCCTTGTAGGAAGTATTTCTTAACAACCAGGCCGTGCAGAGAAATTGTAAGCCACCTTGTTCTGGTCCCTTGGGAGACTGTGGGACATGGAACTCTGATTTTCTGCTCCTTCTTCCAGAACCTAGCCCAGGGACACATCTCAGGATACAGGACCAAAACACTAGCTCCATTACCTTGAGCTGGACAGCTACCCAGGACCCAGACCAATCACCCTACACCTACTGGGTCCAGTGGTCGAGGGAGGAAAGTGTACAAGGGACCCAAAACACCTCAGATACCACTATCACGGTGAAGGAACTGGAA